TGTATTGAGAGAGAAAAATTTCTCCTGATAGAAAGAAATCAGACCTGCAGAACGAAAGATGAAAAATATCCAACAAGGCATATCTTGGAAAATTTATTGTATATCAAGTATAAGGAAAAGCGCCTTTAAACAAAGAGCATAAAGCTGGCCTCAGATTTTGCACTAGTGACATTATGCCAGAAAACAACTGAAGTGTACAATATTCTTAAGAAAATTATTATAGTATTATATTCATGTTAAATGTGTTTTAGTTTAGAGGCAGAAGACAGACATTCCCAATAGAAGAACCCAGTGAATACAGCATTGATGAGCCACTCCTGGAAAACTTAAGTCTCACTGTGGGAAAAAAGAGCCAAAATAAAGAACTAGGCAATGGAAATGGCATGGTAAAAGGAAATGGTGAATAACCATTCCATTTAAAAAGAGAATGAATATTGTTAACTATAAGAAATAGATCACTAAAGAAGACATCCAGATGGCAAACAAAAAACATGAAGAAATGTTCAAAATCCCCAGCTCTAAGAGAGATGCAAATCAAAACAACTACGAGATATCATCTCACCCCAGTAAGAACAGCAAACTTTAACAGAACAGCAAACATCAAAGGCTGCCAAGGTTATGGAGAAACTGGAATCCTTATTCACTGTTGGTGGGAGTGTAAACTGGTGCAAACACTAGGGAAGCCTATATGGTGCTTTCTCAAAAAGTTGTAAATAGAAATATCATTTGACCCAGCAATTCTACTACTGGGAATTTACCCTAAGGAAATCATAACCACCACCCAAGCAGATATTTACATACCCATGTTTATTGTGACTTTGTTCAAAATAGCAAAAAGCTGGAAACAACCCAAGTACCCATCAACAAATGGATAGAGAAGTTCTGGTTGGTATATTCACAAAATGGAATACTATGCAGAATTGAAAAATAAGGAACTCATGAAATATTATGCAAAATGGGTGACCCTAGAGAACATTATGCTGAGTGAAATATCTCAGTCGTAAAGGACAAATATTGCATAGGGCCACTGTTGTAAAACGAAACTAACATTGGGGTTGAGTGAAGACAGAGAAGGAGGGTAGGAATGATGTATACTGCATTGAAACAGACGAGGGAGAGATCTGTTTAAAAGGGATACATGATTGGGTATTATTGTCATGACAAGAGTCCAGAATGAAGGCTGCAAAGTGGAGTGGACTTAGGGGGAGGGATTGCATAAAAAGGAAAGAGTTTTTCTTTTACTTTTCAAGGGGAAGAGTGAAAGGGGGAGGGGGGAGGCAAGGAGAAAAGTGCAACAATGAATGAATGAATGGAAACCCTAAGTCTGTGTAAACTTTCATTAAAATTAATTTTTTTAAAAAAGATCTCTAGCATGCTAGATCTCTAGCATCTCATTGTTCTTAATGTACTTATTTGTCAGTATTCATAAGTAACAGGTTTTATATGATGTTCACCTAATATTAATGATTATTTGTAGGATAATTTTTCTATTTACATTTCTACATTGTTTAAATTATTTGAAATTAACTATCTATTTTTATAAAAAGTTTAGGGATGTTTCCTAAATAAGGCTAAAAATAAAGATGTTAACTTTTTTCCTGAGACCAACAACCACCAGCTGCCCAGAGAACAAAAATTATGCTTCTGAAATCCTTTGATGTCAATTCTGCATGTAGAGCAATAGAGTTGCCCTTCATGTGCCACTTCACAACATACTTCTTGTTGTGTGCTTTTGATTCCAACACAAAGCAACCCTATATGACAAACAGAACTATTTCATAGAATTTCTGTGAGTAAAAATTATAGGATCTGATCATTAGTTCATTTCTCTCAGAGAATAGCTGATGAGTTCAAAGTCTCTTCCTTCTCATGAGTATCCCAGTCCTCAGTTACTTTTGTTTCTTTAAACAGAGGCAGTTGTCAGAACAGAGCAAGGAGACATCGCATGGTTCAAAATTGGGAAGGATGTCCGTCAGAGATGTATTCTGTCTCCAAACATTTTCAATCTGTATGCAGAAAAGATCATCTGAGACGCTGGGCTGTACGAGGAGGAATGTGGCATCAGGATTGGTGGAAGATCATCAACAACCTGAGTTATGCAGATGATACAACCCTGCTTGCTGAAACTGACGAGGACCTGAAGCACTTGCTGCAGAAGGTCAAGAACTACAGCCTTCAATATGGACTGAAGCTCAACATCAAGAAAACAAAGATTCTCACCACTGGGCCAACTGGCAGCATCATAATGGATGGTGAAGAGATTGAGATTGTTAACAGTTTTCATTTGCTTGGCTCCACAATCAATACTCTTGGTACCAGCAACCAGGAAATCAAAAGACGAATAGCACTGGGAAAGTCAGCTGTCAGGGACCTCTTCAAAGTACTGAAGTACTGAAGAGCAATGATGTCAGGCTGGAAATTAAGGTGCACTTGATCCAGGCCATAGTCTTTGCAATTGCATACTATGAGTCGTAGAGCTGGACAATGACTAGGGATGATAGAAATGGAATTGATGCCTTTGACCTGTGGTGCTAGAGAAGAGTACTGAATAGACCATGGACTGCTAGGAGAACAAAAAGGTTGTCCTGGAGAGGGTAAAACCTGGTTGCTCCTTGGAGGCAAGAATCCTGAAGCTTCATCGACATACTATGGGCATGTTGCAAGGAGGGACCAGTCCTTGGAAAGGGACGTCATGTTTGGGACGGTGGAGGGACAGCACAAGAAAGGAAGACCCTCAAAGAGATGGAGTGATTCAGTGGTTGGAGTAATGGGAGTAGGTGGTCAGAGACAGTGAGGCTGGCACAGGATAGAGTGCAAGTACATAGGGTCACTGTGAGTCGCAAGCAACTTGATGGCACATAACAACAGGCTTATTACAATGAACATGTATTACTTGTATAGACATACCCTCTCCCAAAATAAGTTTTCTTTAAAAAAAAAAAAAAGGATGCTGTTAAAAAAAAAAAAGGATGCTATTGTTGTTGTTATGTTGTTGTTACAATAGTCAACACTCTTGGAACCAGCAGCCAGAAACTCAAGAGATGAATTACATTGGGAAAGTAAGCTGTCAGGGACCTCTCCAGAGTACTGAAGAGCAACGATGTCAGGCTGGAGACTAAGGTGCGCCTGATTCAGGCTATAGTCTTCACAATTGCGTGCTATGCCTTGGAGAGCTGGGCAGTGACTAGGGATGACAGAAAGATAATTGATGCCTCTGAGCTGTGGTGCTGGAGAAGAGTGTTGAATATTCCACTATTAACATGAAAGTAGGGGATGAGTAAGAAAGGCAGAAGAGGGTAGAAAAAATACAACACATGGTTTTAGCAATAGAGCTCAGATAGCTTAGTGGTAAGGAGTGCTCTGTCAACCCAAAGGCACATGGTTTGAATCTACCAGCAGCTCCACAGAAGAAAGATAGATTACTTGTGCAATTTACTGCCTCTGGAAACTGGCTTGAGGGTAAACTGTAGGTTGGTTATGGCTCAACAGCACATAACATGCGTTTGACAAGATTGAAAAGGTCAGCAAGGATTCTACTAGGGAAATACACTGGATTCAGACTGTGAGGGTACTGAATATCAGGCGAGGAATTGAAAACGTGGTGGAGAAAACAATTAAGAATGATGAAGGCAAGGAAATCTGTAAGTCCTAGCCTTTCTGAATACTAGAATTTCTTTGATATTGATTCACACAATGCTTTATTTTACATCTTTATTCTTTCTCACAGTCTGGATAAAAAAACAACACGTAAGTCATAAAATAATTACAGAAGACTTGGCACTGAAGTATTCTTTTGTTCTATTTGGACAACTACTTGGGCTAGGTGTAGGTTTTAAAAGGAAATACTGCATGGTTTAACATTAGGAAAGGTGTGCATCAAGGTTGTATACTTTCTCCATACCTAGTCAGTCTGTCTGCTGAGCAAATAATTCAAGAAACCATATGAAGACTATATGAAGAATGTCGCTTCAGGATTAGAGAAAGACTCATCAACAACCTGTGTTGTGCAGTTGATAACAACTTGCTTGCAGAAAGTGAAGAAAACTTGAAGCACTTACTGAAGAAGATCAAAACCTTCAATATGGATTACATCTCACATCAAGAAAGCAAAAATAAGGGGAGCTCTGGTGGCCTAGTGGTAAGGAGCTGCAACTACAATCCCAGAGGCACACGGTTCGAATCCACCAGATGCTCTGCCGGGGAAGGAGGGACAATCTCCTCCTGTACCAGTCAGATCTGATTTGACGGTACACTCACACAAAAATAATAAAATAAAAATTAAAAACAAAACAAAACAAAAAAAAAGAAAGCAAAAATATTCACCACTGGACCAAAAGACAGTACCATAAGAGCAGGAGAAAAAAATTGAAGTTGTCAATGATTTCACAAGAAGTCAAGAAAAGTAAAGATTGTTATCAAAAACCTCTCTTTGAAGTGCTAAAGAGAAATGATGTCAGTTTACAGACTAAGGTGCACCTGATTCAAGCCATGGTCTTTTCAATTACTTGCTACTCATTTGGAAGTTAGACAATGAATTATCTAAGATGTTAAAAGTATTGATGCCTTTGAGGTTTGTTATTGGAGGCAAGTACTGAATATCCCATGAATTGCAAAGAAACCAAACAAATCTGTCTTGGAGGAAGTACAACCAGGATGCTCCTTAGAGGAAAGGATGGTGAAACTTCATCTCACAAACTCTGAGCGTGTTGTCAGTATGGGCCAGTCCTGGAGAAAAAACATCATCCTGTGTAAGGCAGAGGGTCAGGGAAAGAGACAAAGACTCTCAATAAGGTGGATTGACACAAAGACTGTAACAGAAATGCTGCTTACTGGGTCATTATGAGTCATAGTTGACTTGCTAGCATTTACCAACACACACTGAAGAGTGATTTGTTTTTAAACTAATAGAACCCCCAGTTTACACCTCTTGTTTAAAGATAGAGAAGGATACAATGGGTAAAACTTGAATAAAGGAAGTAATTGCCAGTGATCATAATTACCTTTTAATTTATTTTTAATCATTTCTGATAAGCGTTTTGTGAGCTGAGGCATTTCTTCTGGAACATATTCAGCATTGGCCAGTTCCTCCTTGAGTATAGTATGGATACAATCTTTAACCAGAGGAGGCCTAAACCTAAAACACACAATTTGAGATCATCTAATTAGTATTCCAAAACCCCAATTTATCTTCCCACCAGAATTTCTTCCAGCTTTTGCTAGTTCAACAGCTCAACCCGCTGCCATCGAGTCAGAACAGATTCTCAGCTGACAGGTTTTCAAAGGCCGTGAATCACAGGAGGAGAGTGCCCTTCTTTCTCCTGTAGAGCTGGTGGATTCAAAGCACCTGCCTTCGGACTGGCAAGGCAACTTCTTACCACTAGGCCACCAGAGCTCCCTAAACTGTAGATTACAGTCAAGAAAATCCTAGGAACAGTTCTGCTCTGTAATACATGGAATTAACATGAGTCAGAATTGAGTCAATTTCAATTGTTTAAAAAAAATAATTTAGTCCATCTTCTGTGAATTACAAAAATAATAGAATTAAATTGACAACAGGTCACATTCCAAATATATACTTCCATTCTGATCCTCTGCTTATGACTTCAAAGTATACAGTCTAACACATTTACATGTCTGAATTCTCAGTTCTTTAGTGATTTTTCCTATGTTCTTTGACCACAACACCCTACTAACTTTTAGCACCTCTGCACTTGCTGTTTTCTCTTCCTGAAATGCTCTTCCTCTCTTAGGGACGCATGTCAAGCTCCTTTCTTTCTTTCCAGCCTTCATTTAAAAGTCACCTTTCCTGGCTATTCTCTCTTAAAACTCAAACCATCTTACTTCCATCACTTCACATCTCCTTTGCTAGAATTTATTCTATCGCATATACTGGACGTTGTTGCTGTTACTCCCCGTCGAGTCGGAACTGACTCACACCTGACACTTGAGAGTTTTCAGAAGCTGTAAATGGCACAGGCATACATAGACCGCTCATCTTTCCAGCGGGGCAGCTGGTGGATTCGAACAGAACATCTTTGGACTGGAAGCGCAACTCCTTACCACTAAGGCACGGGAACTCCCTAGTCCACTTATATACTTATCTTTATTTTATTTGTTCTATATTGCTAGAACATAAATGCCACAAAGGCAGGACATTTTGTTAACGTGGAAGGACGAAGTTAATTAAGGATCTGAGGGACAGCCCTCAGGGCTATCCTTTGCACTAACAAGTGTGTATGCCTTTAAATCTGGGCCTGGACTTACTGCAGAGGAGGAAGAGCATTCAGATACAAGTGCGTATATGGTTGTATTTTAACACCAAGCCTCTTGCTCCCACCTCTACCTATTCTATCCTACTCCTCAACCCGAGTGCACATCCCTGCATCTCCGCGCATCAGGCCAGTCCCGGCGCCGATCAAAGGTCCTCCCAGCGCCCTAACACTGCAAACGCGACTTTGAGTCTCTGCTGCCCCCCTACAGCTGAAAGTCGAGAAGAGTCGAGATGTTGAAGAAGGACCACTTCCCTACCCACCCCACTTCCACCAGGCCTCCCCGCCCCCGGCCAAGACCTCCGCGCCCAACTCAGAACTCCCGCTCATCTCGTGCACTACCCGCCTTTGCTGGAAAACAGGCCGCAGGATATAGGTGTTCTCAGACTCGTCTGATTTCTCAGTTTCGGGAACCCCATCAGCCACGGAGAACGACAGGCGCGTAGATGCGGCCATGGTCAGGCCGAGGGTGTCTCGCGATGAAGGCCCGACGACTTGCTGCATGTTGCTAGGAAACCTTCGCCAAGGCGACCGGCCCGGCCCGCCCCCTAGCCCTCACGTGACGCGGCAGAGCAGCCACCGCCACCACCACCGCTGGCGGGAACTGGCGGCCTTAGAGCAACCTAAGTTTGGTCTGTTCTTATGCTGTCAGCAAATCACTTTAACGGGCTTGTTTCTTATTAATTGGATTTCCGTTTTAGGGCATAGACAAGGAACAAGAAGTTCATAAAGATTACGTAACTTGATCGAGCATGAAGAACTAAGGAGTAACAGAGCCCAAACTCCAGTCAAAGTCTTCAAAGGTGAGCCTCCTGGCACAACTCTAAGAATGCAATATCTCATGTAGAATACGTGTAGACCCAGAACTCAAAAGTCATAATATACAAAACAACTATGAGATATTATCTCACCCCAGTCAGAATAGCAAAACTTAATGGAACAGCAAGCAACAAATGCTGGTGAGGTGGTGGAGAAACTGGAACCCTTATTCACTGTTGGTGGTAGTGTAAAATGGGCAACCACTATGGAAGGCTGTATGGTGTTTTCTCAAAAAGTTGCAAATAGAGATACCGTTATACCCAGCAATTCCACTACTGGGAACATACCCCAGAGAGACCATAACTGACATCCATATACACACCCATGTTTACCCTGGCTTTGTTCATAATAGCAAGGAGTTGGAAACAGCCTAAGTGCCCATCAACAAATGAATGGATAGAGAAGCTGTGGTATATTCACACAATGGAATATTACGCTGCATTGAAAAACAAAGAACTCATGCAATATTATTCAAAATGGGTGACCCTGGAGGAGTGAAGTATCTTGGTCACAAAGGACAAATACTGAATGGTGCCACTGTTGTAAAACCGGACTGGCCTCGAGGTTGAGGGGAGACTGAGAAAGATGGGTTCAGTAATGTATACTGCATTGAAACAGATGAGGGAGAAAACTGTTTAAAAGGGATATGTGATTAGGTATTTTTGTCATGATGGGAGTCCAGAGAGAAGGCTGCATAGTGGTATGGACCTGGGGGGAGGGATTGTAAAACAATGAAAGAATTTTTCTTTTACTTTTCCAAGAGGGTAGTGTACTGAGGGGGAGGGGAGGGAAGGGTTGGGAGGGGAGAAAAGTGCAACAATGAATGAATGGAAATTAAAAAAAAAAAAAAGAAAAAATGCAACCTCACAGTGTAGAATAAGTGTAGAAACCAGAACTCATAAGTCATAATATACCATTTCTGTGTTATCCATGGCTATGATTACTGAGATTGTATTAAGAAATAAATTAATACGATGTTATGATCGTGATTGACCAGGAAAAAATAAAGAATACGTGTAGAAGCTGTTGAATTTGGTGTATGTTCTTCCACTATATTCTCAACAACAAATCAAGCCTCTCATTTGTCTTTATATGACCTGTGATCTACAAGTAGCATTTTATATCTTTAATTATTTTTTAATCAAATTAAATACACTATTTGGTGACAGGAGAAAATGATATAAAATTAAAATTTCAATACCCATAAATAAATTATCCTTGAACCTCCTGTAGGCATTATCTATCTTGGATTTTGTGCTCCAACAACAGAGCTGAACAATTACAATGGAGATTGGCCTGCAGATAGTTTAGACCTCTGTTCTAATCTGTTTGCCTATCTGCTGTAATTTATGCAAAATCAGGAAACAAAGATGCAAGCCTTGCTTATAGGTAACAATCCATAGTATGCTGACTTCTGTTAGCTTCAGAAACTAACCACTTCCCCTAACACCTATCCAGCCTTGGATTAACAAATTCCAAAACTTGCTTCTGTAAAATGTAAAATGAATATGTTCTAAAATGAGAATGTTGGGGAGGGGAGAGAGGGAGATTAATCATGGGGTTGTACAGTTTGATGAGTGGGAGGGTGAAGGAAATAGAAAGAATTTGTTCTTGAAAACAATGTATTCGAATTTTGTAAATAAGCTAGTGGGGGAGGGGAAGTATTCCTTTGCATTTTTCAGTAAAGACACGCTCATTTTTCTATTCCAGGTCAGATTTACAAAGTACGTCCTTGATAAATCAGTTAAAAACCAGTTGTGGTGGAGTTCATTCCAACTCGTGTCAATCCAGTGTGTTTCAGAGCAGAACTGTGCTCCATGGGGTGTTCGATGGATAATTTTTCAGAATAGATAGCCAGGTCTTTCTGAGGTGACTGTTTTTATCATTCATCCTGCTAAGATTAATAGAAGATTATTTCTAAAAGGTCTCAGGCCAACACAGTTCCAAATGCTTAATCATCTGAATGAATCCCTAATTCCTAACATTAACAGCTCCATCCGTGGCTCAGGTCCCCAATTCCTCTACAGCTCTTGAGTTCAGTAATTTGCTAGAAGATCTCTCAGAAACTCAGATCCATTAGAGGAATGTGACTCATGTGACCATATGCAGGTTGGTTTTGCAGAAACTGCTTGAGCCATTGGCCAGGATCCTGTTGACTGTCCATTATGGTGCACCTGGATGGTTACTTTGGGTGGTGCAGGCTGGTGGTGCAGAGACTGTTGAGCAATGGGCCAGGATCATGTAGACTATTAGTTATGGCACAACTGGATAGCCACAGTGGGTCATGAAGATGCTGTGTCCAAGAGAGCATTCCACAAGAGGAGGCGCCTAGTACTGAGGTCACATGAGCATATATAATCCTCTAGTATGGTGGTGCTTATATCCCATTCTAATCTTCCCTCTCCTTAATACAATAATTACTTCAGCACAAAATAGACAGTTAATGATTAGCTAGAAAAAGACATCATTAGACACCCACAGTGTCTCTGGGTGAACTTGAACTGCTAAAAGTTTGGTCTTAACCATTGACCCACTCAGGAACTCGGGCCATCTTCCAGCCTCCAATAAACTTCCTCCACAGTCAGCAAATCAAAAGATGTATTGCATTGGGGAAATCAGCTGTCAAGGACCTCTCCCAAGTTGTAAAGAGCAATGATGTCAGTCTAAAGACTTCTGATTCAAGTCATAGTCTTTCCAATCACCTACTGCACATCTGAGAGCTAGACAGTAAATAAGGATGACAGGAGAATGATCGATGCCTTTGAGTTGTGGTGTTGGAAAAGCATAGTGAATATCCCATTATGGGAAGCCAAACTTTATACCAAATATTATATGAAAACCCTTGTTCAGGAATTGAAGGAATTACAGATTTATAAGTTAGAATTTCTCTTGTGGCGGATCCTAGAAAATGAGCTGTTTGTTCCCTGCAAGACAGGAGACAGCAAGGGGCCCCCTACAGAGGGAGTGTTACTTCCTGAGCTAGAGTTCACCCTGAGGCATCAAGGTTAATAGTTAAGGGTAAACCAAATTCTTGCATTTGTGAACCTCGCTTTCCTGAGTCAAGCAGAAAGTTTTCAATAGAAAGAGGTTGGCTTTATTTGCATTGAATTCTCTTTGTGATTTACTTCCTGATAATTTTCAATAAAGACACAGAGAAACATGACTTGGGGTCTTCAGTCCAGAACTGTTGACCCCCTGTTTTATGCTCTCTGCTCTATCACATTCCTGGCTGTTTGTCTCTTTATTAATAATTATAAAATTATTCCATTCTTTGGGATCCTCAGTCTGCAAAATCCCATGGGCTGTCAAAACAGATATGGCTTAGAGAAAGTGAAACTAAAATGCTCCCAGGCGGCCAGGGTGGCAAAGCTCCATCTCATATATACTGTACATGTTGGTATGAGGTCCCCTTGGATGGATTGACACAGTGACTGTAGTGATAAGATCAAGTGTGTGAGAGATGACAAAGATGGCATAGGATAGGGCAAGGTTCAGATCTGTTGTTCACAGGGTTGCTGTCAGTCTCACTTGACTTGATGGCGCCTGACAACAACAAAGGTCACCTAGTCGATCTTCCATACCCTAAAGTATCTTTCCTTTATCACTGTGGTCATATACTGTTGAGCCAGAACCTACTTATCATAGCTGAGCCTCCAGAGGGTTTTCAGAGGCATTAAATCACATGGGAGAAGGCCTAACCTTTGCCACTACTCTCTGAAATCATTCAGTGGCTCCTTATGACTACTTTCACACATTGACATTTGTTTTCCTTTGCAAATAAACCCCCTCGGGATATGAGTGGAGAATTGAGCCCTCCTACTGGCAATGGGGTCTGTGTTCTGAAAGATTAAAATTAAAATAGCCCCTATAGTTCTCAGCTGAATTAAACTCAGGTTTCTATAGTTCTTAGCTAAGTTAAACTCAGGAATTTTTCCATTGTCCCAGGTAAAGCCCCACACCCAGTTGTATCCAGGGCAACAGTATTTCAAGAATGGCTAACTACAGGGTAGGGCAAACAAGCAGATGTTTCTCGACTGATAACCCATGTGCCTTTGTTTCCTGACTGATAACCCATGTGTCTTGTGCTTTTCCACTGCCCTGGAGTTTGAACTCATTGTATACTTAAGAATTTGTGAAACCACCCTATAGTTAAAGATCTGTCTAACTGCTACATGTGCTACGTGACTGCCACATGTGCTACGTGCAAATATGCTGTGTAAACCATGAGCGAAAACTGAACCAATGAATTAAAACTGTGCTTTCATCACCCAATGAGAAGCTGATACCCAGTTGTATCCCCCTAAAGTGTATAAAAAGAGCCAACTTTGTCTGCTCAAGGTCGACTCCTCTGTCTCCTGCGAGAGATACGTGTTGGCCCGGAGCTCCGCAATAAACCTCTTGCCTCTTGCTGTTGCATCACGCCGGTGTCTTGGAGTCTTGGGTCTTCGCCGTCCGCTCGGGACAGGGTAGGGCCACCAGTCCGGGGGTCCTTCAGTTCATTGGCTCAATGAATCCTGCACCAGCCCAGTGCAATTTCAGCCACTCCCTTTGTGGCTATTTTCTGACCCGAGTAGCACACTGGCGGGAGTCCTGCATTCACACACTGGCCTAGTCCTAGCCTGGCGGGTAGGAGCAGA